ATTGTAATCACCGAAACGGCTTTTTTCATTCATTTTATGTGTTTATTGACTTTTATTTTCGAAACAACAAACTTTGTTTCCTATCAGCCTTCTCAATTCAAATAAGCTCTATTAACCCCGCTTCATCGCGCGCCATCAACCATAGACCAACAACAGAACGCTTATGCAACTAACAGAACACTCAGCATTGTGGACAAGAGACATATGTTCGATAGGTTTGCGGCTGCGGTACGCGTCGACTATGCGTCGACGGTCACAGACTTCATTATATTTATTTATGATCGTTTGCCGTGCTTGTCCGGCGAGTAAGGTTATGTCAAATTTATGATTTATTAATCATTCAGAATTTAACGAATATTGTTGGGGTCTATTAAATTACAAATAATATGGTGTACCTATCGAGTTTTCGGCAGTTTTTGAAGTTTTAATTATGATTTTGAAATTATATTATGTCAGCATCGACATTCTTCTGGTCATTATTATTTTTTGTTTCATAAATTGCCAATGAGGAAGCGAAATACAAAATCGAAAATACAGCCATGTAGGTATCCAATAGCCAATCAACTGCCGGAATACAAAAACGAAAACATCATGTTTTCGATCATCAACACATACATCTCAACTAATAAAAAACGTGTATTTTATAATGAGTAGAATAATCAATAAAATGAGTTGTCTTTGTTTAGATTCTTCATGACTACAAAACATTTTTAATGTATTTTTTCTGTGACGGGAAAAAAGTTTGGCATTTCATCTCTGTTGGCAGGTTATAAAATGTCACTTTTCATAAATTACTTTTTTCCCGTGGGCAAGAAGTGAGTACTTTTTTCCCGGATATATATCATATATATATACACTGTTGATGGCTTTTGTTGTGCTATTGTTCCGAAAAATGAGTCAATAATACCGTCTCCGAGAAAGAACTGCAAGTCCTTATCTTCGATTCGACTTCGCAGTTACGTATATTACTGAACAACCACTAAATTCGCAATTTTTTGAAATCAAATCACAGAATTAGACTGACAGAAGTGACATCAAATATTTGATTACTTCAAAAGAATGATAAAGATGCCTAATGCCTATAGAACGCAGGTGTCCCTACTGTTAAAAACTTAAAATTTCACGTCGATAATTTTCAGATTTCAAAATAATGTAACATTTTCTCAATATTGATTCGTCCTTTCTTCTGTCACAGAAAAAAATAGTGTATTATACACGGGAAAAATATTAGATTTTAGCTCACGGTTTTTTGTCTCCCTCCGCTACGCGTCGGGAGACAACACAACCTGGAGCTAAAATCTACAACTTTTCTCCCTTGTATAATAAATAACTATATTTTTATTTATTTCGCATTGCAGTTTTCGCTTAGAATACGCGTTATGCAATTAACAATACACTTAAGCAACAAGAATTGCCTGATACAAAAAGATGCACCATGTCATCGTCGAAAATTGTATTATTTTCACTTTGAAATGCGATTACACAAAATTGGTATAAAAATGTTCGATAGGAATCAATAATGAGTGCCTATCACGGGTTTGGCTGAGAATTAATGTTGAATATTACTCATCCCTGAAGATGAAAATATCATGACATGTTTTGATAGCCTGCTTCTGGTAAATTATTGCTAATTTTTTTGCGATCTTTTTCATTAAACTCCCTTCGAGTTGCCCAGTATCCAATCCAATCAAAAACCGAGATACAAAAACCAAAACAGTGTTTTTGATTATCGTCAAATAAGAACATTGTTTTTGATTATCGTCACAAATAATATTCCAACCTGTCGAAACCGTATGATAGAAAATACCCCTTTCAACCACGGCAGTATTTATTAATATGATCAAAATACATAAAATATCCCTCTCACGCACAGATTCAACCTTTCGATAATTGACAAACCAAATTCATTAATAATATCTCAAAAGTGACATCAGCTCTCAAAATATCAAAATACGGGATGTGGTATTGATATTGAATGAAATATCTAACACGTATATCTTGGAATTAATGGAATATTCACAATAGTATATTGTTGAACGAGCACGGAATGATAGTCATTTCCACGAGAGTGAAGTTTTCAGCATGAGCCGTAGGGAAATCAGCATTCCGTGCTGAGATTGAAAGTAAGACATGTTTCCCCCCAGTTTTAACGTGATTGCAACGTCAGATGATGACCTGGAAAACCGCGAATTAGACAGAGCTGTGATTGCTTGAAATTTCATATTTCATGGGAAATGAGATTTTGTGAAATAATAACACAATGAAGAAATTGTGATATCAGATACGGAAATAAAATTGGTGACATACAAAGTGCCTCATTGATTTATCGAACACAGTAAAACTGCAAGAGTAATTTTTCGTTATAGTCATAGAAAATAGTTAATTGTACACTAAGGTAGTGAAGAATATCATTATAACCCAGGGACCAAGATTATATTTCGAGGCGAGGTAATAATATTCTCAACTACCAAGGTTTACATTACATTTTATAAGGTCCCGTGATCCCCAAGGTGTATATTAAAGTTTTTCACCACTTGCAATACATTCCAATCATTTTAATTCTGTGAAACTGGAATATGGACCTATTGTCACTACATGAAAGCACTTCTTTTCGATTCCAATTGAAATCTAGTAGTCAGAACAGTGAATCCGGGGGTTAATTATAACTGAGGTGGCTATGTCTTTATTGACTGGTGGTTCATAAAATGCCGAAAACTACCTTGGTAGTGAAAACACATTCTACCGCATTTTAAGCCTCGAAAAGGAGTAAATAATGGTATATTTCATAGCTAGTGGTGGAAAATCATGTTTCTAGGACGGTGAGTTGATTGGGTGGGTACTTATTATTTTCAAATAGCTGAACAAGTTATGCCATCAAAAAATTATCTAAGCATGATGATGAAAATCCTTTTGAATCTATTTATTGATTTTTTTACTTGCTATAAAAACAAACTTATATAACAGAGAACCTTTCTCTTCTCACATTTTAGATTTGGAAATGAAATATGATTTAGAATCGGACAAATTATGTTCTACCATTTACATGAATAATATCGAGTTTGTTTTATGTCTTCTCTCCACTCTGTTTTATAAGATTTGATATCCATAGACGCTAACTAATTATAATTGATATCGACAAAAGACAACTTATTCGACAAATCACATTCAATCAAACAATAGTTGCTGCCCAATAATCAGCACAAATTTCTAACCTTTTCCGAGTGGAATATGACCGATTAAACTGTAGAGATTCATGAAAAAGCAAATGCCTGATATGTTCGGAATTAAAAGCAGCGATGGAAGATAACAAATGTTTTTTATTTTCGTCAAGTACTGATGTTAGTTCGAATTGTGTTAAATTGACTGCTAGAGGTGTCCAAGGAATTATAAGTGCTAGCAAGTAGCATCAAGACAAAATAATTGAACTCTTGGAACCAGTGCCTATTCATCCTCTAATTGTTCACGTCGAATGTCGTCGTTTGTACGTAAATCGGAACAAGATGAAGAATGATCTCAGGTTCGAATCAGATCCTGATAGAGAAGCACCAACTAGTAGCAGCAGCAACAGAGCTGACGACATTCGCATTCAAAGATAATTGCTTGTTTTGTTGCCAATTCATCAAGGAAACTGAGAAAATAATTAAATCTGCAATTTCACCAGTACGAACTTTCGCATTTCGAGAAAATATTATTGATGTGTGTGATGCAAGAAACGATTTTTGATCATCAAATGTTCTTGCACGTCTTCTTTCCGTTACCGATACTTGCCAGCAGCAGATGCTCTGTATAATCAGAAATGTAGTGTGAATTCCTAAGAAATATCAACATGATATTCCCAATGAGCAGAGAAATTTAGCAGGACGTAATTCTGATAAAAATAAAAAAGATACCTTTTTCGAAATATGCAGGTGGCTCAAGGAAAATGATGAACCAATTTCAGTTCAGGAGTTGCTGGACAAAATGGCAGAGCTGCTACCAGAAAATATCGAACCTCACACTGTTCGTCGTATGCATAAAAAATTTGAAGAATATTTCTCGGATGACATTATGATATTGGGACAAACAGGTAGAGCTAATATGATCGTAACAGTGAAAACAGTTGCCAATATAATTTGTGATTATCAGCGACAAAAGTGTTCAGAAGATCCAGATGCTGAAATTTCGGATAGTTGAAGCAACAGCTTAAGAATTCAATCAAGTTGATGAGAACGTCCTTTTTTTTGTGAGTTTTATCCTTCACCAGAAGAAATAAGTTGCGAGCAGGAAAATGATAAGCTTTCACCCGACATTTTGAAAACATTCTTGGATATAATAATCAACAAAAAATCCTCAAGTTTGGAGAAGAATTCAATTGAACAGGCACTAATGCAAGCTGCAAGGCCACGATCTATCATATAAGTTCAATTCGTCTAGATGTTGGTGTGCAGTATCATCGAGATTTTCGATCTCGGTTACTTGTTGATGAACTCCATGGGTTTTCTGTATCATATGATGACGTACAGAAGTTCTTGCAAAACTGAAGTAGATGAACCTTGTGGAACCAGATGTAAATGTGCGGACGATACGGAATTTTTTTTCACAGTATTGTGCAATAATTGTTCGGGAAGGTACCAATATTCCAATCGAGGAAGTTGAAGATAATGAATGAACTTCTGTTACATGCCAAATATGCCATTTTTATTAGATTTATGATTTATATACGTATTAACGAATAAACGAATATTGGAGACACTGTATTTTTATTTTGCACACAGGTATCATTCTATATTTTCTCATATGTGTTATTCTATGCATTCTGAACTGAGAAAAGCAGAAAGAAATTTTGTGGGAATTATTTCCACCTGAGACCATTTATTATCGCATATCTACTACACTATATGTGGAGAGTTTTCGGTCGAATTTCAAAACATCCTGCACAATTACACATTATCAAGCTCATTTTACAATAGCAAGATAATACGTTCTAGAGAAAGAGAGTATGCGAATAATTATTATCTTACCAAATCCCACTGTCATTTGAATTATCTGAGGGATCCAAGCTACGCCTGTAGGAGGATCTGACCTTGGCGGACATTTCCCTGGTTTTTCCCGACCCCACACATGACTTCCCGCTAGGAGGCCTTCCTTGTCTTCTGATGGGCTTTGTACTAACGATCGGCACGGTGCAAAGGGTCATCTTGGAAGTGCCTTCACCTGAAAAAAATGATATTTATGGTTCAAGTGCGCAAAAACCAGTTCTACTAGCTCTCATAACTAAGAGATTTAGGGTAAATAGAGTTGCCCCTATTGTCAGTAAGATGGAGACTATAATGTTTCGACCAACCAGACTTCTTCAGTAGTTTTCGGTCTTTTGTCAATTGGACAACTTAACGTTATACGGTTATATCAGCCATATCGAAGACGCCAGAAGATGATACATGAAGGATCTAGTCATATTGTGTTATAGTCTTCTAGTGGTCTAAGATCTAAGGTTACACGCTACAGAGAGGTATACTATAAGTAAACCACTCTATTGACCCGATAAAACATTGATGGAATGGTTCCATCAATCCTATTCAGTGAACTAGGTCTAATAATAAGTTATGAGATATAGGAAAATAGGTGAAAGGAAGTACGAAGGATAGGCAGCACTTGGTAGAAAACGAAACAACAAATAAACGGAGTCAATAAACAGAAGCCAGCCGCACATTTGTGATTTCGGTCAGCAGACCCTGAGGTCTCAGAGAAACAGCTAACGTCACCACGGAGGCAGCTATAGCTACCTGCATGACATCCGTGTAGCTATAGCTGCACTACTACCGAAATCCTTGAGAACTGACGGCCGACTATCGAAATGTAATGCCTTCACGGCGCATTTAAGGTTTGTAGTTCGCGGTCAGATACTTGAAAAGTGCTCGAAAAACTCATCCTCCTTGATACGGATTTGCAAGCGCATATACGTAGGAGGCTGTCAATAATTTGATCACCGGTATAGGTATTACCACAGATTAATCTGTGGTATTACGTTGTGGAGACGACTTGGAGAGTTTTTATTATATTTTAACTACTTCACTCCACTTTGAGATAGTAGTAATAGTAGTAGTAGTATTGTGGGGAGGCTGTAGCCAGGCAGGTAGGCCCCCATGGGCCCTTTTTGCCATTCCCTGATTCCCACATATCTACACATCCCTCTTTTAGTTGTCCTTTTCGAACCTTCCCGTCCTTCTGATGAAGGTCAGGATGTCCGTCCACTCTAATTCGACCAAATCTTCCTGTTGTAGTTTATCTACTCCAAAAATTTCGAATCTCATCCTTCCATACGCCTCACACTCTCCGAGGAAGTGAAGTGATGTCTCCTCATCTTCTCCGCATTCACGGCAAGTGGGACTATCTTCCACACCTATGAGTGATAGATGTCTGCGTAATCTTGTATGCCCTGTCAGTACCCCTATAGGCAGGCACAGGACTTGGCGATCCCTGCCCAGTAACCAAGCCATCTTTGGCTTGCTTGGACCGGCCACCAGGTCTCTCGATTGCCTGCAGCCGCCTATACGCCTCCAATATCCTTCTAGTGCCTCGTCCGCCCATTTGTTAAGGGCAGACGAAGTTTGGCTTCTTGTTATGCCCAGTGCAGGCTCCGGTCCCCACTTTGAGATAACATGGACTTCTACAGTAGATTGATATATGGTATGTTTCAATTCATGCAAGGTCGGCTCAATACGATATTCGCTTTGCGCATACGCGCCAACAATTGAGCGTAAAACTAAGAACTAGCAATGTCCTTCCTCTAGGAATGTTATCAGCTTCACCAACCTTGCAACTAGTGAGATTGTCTCGATCAGAAAACGCGTCTGGCAACATTATTGACCTCTCGGATTCGGAAAAACCTCTTATCAATAATATACAAACATTTCATTCAAGATTCAAAATTCAATACCTTTAGATGAAACATTTTTGGACAAAAATAAGAATATATACTATTATTTTGTCATTCCACTTATCGCTCCAATTTAAGATTTATTGTAGATACTAATAATTTAGATACTTATGTACCCGAGTATGTACCTTAGGTATAGTCTTGAAATTCAATTCTACATATTCAATTTATGATCGGATACAATATTCGCATGGGAGTACTTCTATTTGACCTTGTTATCAAGCTTGATGTCATAATTAGACAAATATCGCGTCATTATCGTTTAGCAGCGAGCTATTAATTTTTACAGACGATAGTAAAACAATGTGAAGAATTTTAAATACATTATATGAAATATATCCAGTAAACATTAAGAAGAATCGATATCATTTTCAAGTATAATAGTTATTTTTAGGCACCCAGGCGAACAACCCCATCTTCGTTGGACGTTTTCAGGTTGAAAAGTACTTCCATACAGTGCTAGTCCGTAAAATCTTCCCGGGTGAGACTTGTTCTTCAGCTGAATGAAGGATGTGGTTTTCATTCACTATTTTTTTTTTATGAACAGGAAAGTGTTACAGATAATCCTCTGTATTCTACTACTAGCAGTTTTCATCAAGTTCTCGTTAAACATCTTATGATGTTTTTGATGAATTTTTTTTACAAATTTATTGAATAAATATCTTGTCAGCTATATCCGCAATTTTCAATCAAAACCATTATACAGTCCACAATTGAGAAGGAACAGTCAGCTAGCAACCTGTTCACCAAGCACTTCCCTCATTCTCTTACCAGGACCCAAACCTTCATTTTTTTGTAATCACTCTGCTGTTACTTGATCGGAACCTAAACGATGAGAATTCCAAAAAATTTCTTCGAAACACGACATACGAGCCCTGTCTCAGTGAAGTTGGCCCAATGCCCCAAATAGAACAAATTGCGTTCAAACAATACTGAATGTATTTTCCAACAATATGGTGCCGCTTACCATACGGCTAAAACAGTGAAAGATTGGTCGTCAGAAAACAATACTTCAGTTTTTAAAATGGACGTCGAGTAGTCCAGATCCACCGCCTATACCAAGTTGGTATAATTGTGATAAAACATATATAGGCCAAACCAGGCGACCCATAAAAACAAGGTTCAAAGAACACATGGTCCATTTGAAATATGGCAGGTTAGATAAATCTTGTGTAGCCGAACATATGTTCAATCACAATCATAACACACATATTACTAACCTCAAATCAGTTAAGCAAGGTAATAATATTAGAAAACTATACGCATACGAAAGTTTAGCGATATTTAAGAATAGTAATAGAGTAATGAATAAGGATAACGAACCTATTCCATATAGCCCTCTATATAGTTTAGTGATATAAAAATTAAGATTAACATGTGACCTCAACCATGACAAACATTAACTTGACAGTTAGTATTTTTCACGGTTGGGTGAACATATACCTAGTATACAAGCAGCACACTAGAATAAGATATTTAGTTTTAATCTCCTACTGAAGATGCTAACACAGTTAGCGAAACACGTGTCGAGGCGTTTAAAAAATCGGTTTGGTTATAGTGGTAAAACAGTGTAGTGTCAGGTAGACCTGTTTTAAGTGATTCAGGGTTTAGCGGACTATAGAACATTACATGCATAACGCATAAAGTATGTAATCTGCGGTTTCGGTCACGTTGGGATGAATGTGGCTTGTTTAGGTCTCCGCGACCCAGATAACACACATACATCCATTTCCATTGGATGTCCATTTTGAATCCATTAGGTAGCCGTATGTCCATGGATGTCCAATGGACATCCATTGTGTATATGTACAATGGACATAGAGATTTGTACATACAATGGACATCCATTTTGTAGTTGTACAATGGACAACGAAATTTTTACAGCCAATGGATATCCATCATACTTATCCAATGGAAATCGTTTCGCAAAGTATATATATGTGTCATTTATGACTCTTCTATTTCAATTCAAATATTTTTACCAATAATATATAATATATATATATGAACATTAATCACGGACAACTTCGCACTGGGTACTATTTTTCAAGATTTCATACGTCTCATCATTTTTTTAGGTTACGTACCTATAAAGAGGTAGGTACTTATTTTAAAGTTGACTTTCATCCAATTTCAATTTTAAACTATTTAGGCCGTGCAAATAAGATCGATATGGGCAAATATTATACGGCGGGTTTCTTTCGAAAAAGATGAATCACCCTGTAACACTTTTGATAAGGGCCGTGTAATAGTTATTTATGTATTAAGGGAATTATGAGGGCCTTAATTACCGATGGCAAAGTTTGCGTCCCGAGGGCCTCTGGCCCGAGGGACAGCAATTGCCAGAGGTTATTAAAGCTCTATAATTCCCGTGATGCATAGATAATTTTATTTCTGACTGATTTCATTCATTAGATACCTTCCCGATTGGAAGTTAGACATGTTTTTCTGTATAGTTTCAATGTCATCAGAACGTCAGATGATGATCTTGACTACCGCGAATAGGAGATTCCTTATTGCTACGTTATTGCGTGGTTGTTGCTATACATTTCTTATTTAATTTTAGCTAGAGGGAATTATAGCATCTATAACATCCCAAGGGAGTTATGACCCTCATTATAGATATCGTAACTAGGATGATATAAGCTTATAATATACCAGTCAGAAATAAAAGCTTTATTGCGGCACTAAACTTCAGCAAATTGCATTTTCTCTCGATGTGAAATACCGTGAATACGAAATACTTGCTATAATATTTATAACAGCTCAGTGGTCCGGAGGTTAGCGTTGTGATCCACGAGAGCGGGGTCGGGAGTTCAATCCCCTCAGAGGACAACTTTTTTTTAATTTTTACGTTCTGGCTGGACAAAATTTGGATATCCAATGGAAATCCAATGTATTCCTGATGATTATCCAATAGACTTATCATTGGAATGGACATAAGTTGGATTCTTGGTAGACATCCATTAGAGTTCTGATGTGTATTTCAAATGTAATGGACATACAATGGATCTTCATTGGGAATCCATTGGATGTCTGATGAGTATCCAATAGACTTCCAATGGAAAGGACAAATATTGGATGTCCAATGGAAATCCATCAGATGTCTAATGGAAAGCCAATGGACTTCCAATGTATGTCCAAACTGTTGGACATGTATTATCCATTGGATGTCCATTGGACAAATACTGGACAATGCCGTCCATCCAATGGATGTCCAGGGTATCCATAGCTGGACATCCATTGGTTGTCCAATGGATTCACTTGTTGTCTGGGGATAGGCCCATTTTTATCAATAATACCT